AAAATTATTTGATGATTAAAATAAAGAATTTCGGTTCTTTTGTTAATTTGTCAGCATATATATTATTAATTAGATAATATGCTTAACGTTTTATTTTTTAATTTGTTTTCAAAGCTATTGTTAGAGTCGGGAATAATAATCGGGCCTAAAGGGCCGCCCATTTAAACTCATTTTTATAAGGGTTTGGATTTAAAAAAATGACATTTTTTTAAGAAAATCAAGTTTTCAAACCTGACCTTGATAGACCCTAAAAAAAGGAGTTCGGACTCAAGCGACCTTTTTAGACTTGTTTTTGTTTTTTCATTAAAAAATAAAATATTTTTAATTTTTAAATTGAATTTAAACTTTTAAAATTAAAATTTTTTATTATTTATTTTTAATTTTTAAACATTATAATTTGTATTTTTTAAAAATATATGAAATATTAAAATTAAAAATTTTAAAAAATAAAATAATAATAATAAAGCTTACGGGCTGATCTTAAACCCTTGATATAAGGGCTGAATTTTAAAAAAAAAAATATTTTAAGAAAATTTGGCTCAAGCCCTTAAGAGCCAGGCCCATATAGGTCAAGCCCACCCATTTTTCAACTCTAGCTGTTGCATACATATATTTATGCAACTGAAAGAAGCAATTTAATTTTATCAAAAACAAAAACGAGGCAATTTAATGGTGCGTATTTATTTATTTAACAATTAATATAAAATAGATTTACACCCCTTGTTCAAAGATAATTTATTACTACATTGATGGGATCTGTTAACGTTCAATTGAAGTGGGTATAACTTATTATTAATTAAAATTTAATACGGCGGTAAATTTTACAAGAAAATCATCCTGGTTTTAAGAAGTTGTTAATGTTGTGGAAAGGGAAGGGGAGAGGAGAGAGAGGGGGGGGGGAATATTGAAATTCTTGAAATCTTTATGTGATATTTATCAAAACTGAATACAAAATAAAAATACTAGCTCTATTCATAAAACTCTAAAAAAGATAAAATGATAAATTTAAATATAACTTAAAAATTTAATTTAGAAAGAAAATGATAGGATGCTAATATCCTATTTTATTGAATATAAATAAATTTAAGATAACAATAAAATAAAATAATAAATCTAATATTAATGGATAAAATTTTTATTTAAATATCTCTAATAGATAATTCTAATTTCTTAAATAAAATTTAATTAATTATTATTTCATATTCTATAGATTTGTTTATAAGATATACACAATGATCTTCTCCTTTATGTTCAACTTAAGAAAAGGAAAAGGATGTCTGCATTAAATTATTGAATTTTCGGGTACAATTGCAACTATTAATTAGTTAATACCAATTTGCTAGTTTTTCGATAATGAACAATTTGTTTCATTTTCTGGTCCCAGATTTAATGGAATTATTTTTCACATCCCAGTATTTGGTCCCCTGCTGCTGCGTGCTGGGCACTCTTAAAATCGACACACAGGATATATAGGATCATAGGACCGCTCTTTCTTCCTCTATAATTTTCAAATAAAACTTTAATATATTCAGTGTTTCATTCCATTTACAACAAACACTTCAATTTCATTTGTTCTTGTTTGATGTGTTGAATTAAATTTCAGTTGATTCAGAGTCAATTAAAACACACGATAAAAAGATACCAAAAATATAAAATGGGGGTATAGTAGGGGAAAATTGCCAAAAAGATTCCACCTGATTTGAGTTTGTAAAGAAGGACTTGGGAGAGGTCCTTTGCTGGCATTAATTCAAATCTCCAAATGACCTGATTGCCCTTGTAATTGAAAAAAGTTGAGTAAGGTCCTTCGTTATTAATATATTGCACAAGATTTTTCCTTGTTAATATCTCACAAGATCCTTTAATGTCAATAATTCAATGACAATACGTAAAAGAAGGTCCTTTTTTGTTAATATGTTAAATAAAGTTTTTTTGATGTCAATATGTCAAGCGAGATGTAAATTTTTAAGATATATGCAAAAGGCATATTCAAATAAATGATAACTAAATTGCATTTCTTTAAAAGGTGCTTACATATCATAGAAGAAGGGTTGCATATAGTTAAAAATACTTTCATATTATCTTAAAACATGATGCTAATGTAAATTTTCAAGACATTCAAAATACATATTCGAATAAATGGAAGCCAAATTTCATTTATCAAAGAGTGCACGTATATTGCAAAAGAAAGGTCACATATGGTTAAAAATACTTATATATTGTCTCAAAACATGACAAATTGACAATAAGTGTCAATTTTTAGTATATCCAAAATGTATATTCGAATAAATAAAAATTAATTTATATTTTCTTGAAGGGTGCTTGCATATCGTGAAAGAAGGATTGCAAAAAGTTGAAGACATCTACATATTATCTTAAAACATTAAATTAAGTGTAAATTTTCAAGATATATTCAAAATGCAAATTTAAATAAATGGAGGGTTAGAAGTAAAACATAGCCTCTATGACCTCAATTTTTAAAAATTTCATTTGTTTTATTTGAATAAAACAAAGGTAAGAAATGAAACACAGCATCTATCACCTTAATTTTTAAAATATCCAAGTTTTATATTTGAATATGACTTAAAACTTGAGGTTGGAATATTACACCAACATTGTATTTTCAAGATATCATAAATATATATTTTAAAATTTTTATTTTTTATGAAAACATTGAAGATATTTTAAAAATGAAAATGAATATTTTGAAAATTTTCTCAACTTTCATTAAAAAAAAACACTTATAGATATTTTGAAATTTTTACATTTCCAATGCATATCTCAAATTCAAGCTATCAAATGAAATCTTTCTAATCCAACAAATAAATAGCAAATTAAACTGAACTTCATTTTATTAAAATATAAAATTACAATACATGAATGGTTCTTCTTCTACTATTTCCAATACATGTCCAAAAAGATTGACAAATAAATACAAGAATCCTATTGTACTTTGCCTTCTTGGCTACCTTTCCATAACAAGTTGCAACAATTTCCAGTCCATCCGTGACATAATCCTTTAGGTTCATGTACAGAGTCATGATTACATTGAATGAATGTGAATGAGTTGCAGGTTACTTCACTCCTCATTATGCTAAGTAAAGATTCTGCCTTTTCTTTCATCTTATAATGTACATAGGCATTCAAAAGATTCTGCCTTTTCTTCCGCTCGTAGATAATCTAAATCTCTCCCCCTATTGTTCCTCCATTCATATACCTGCATAAATTGCAAAAGGTTAACGGATTTAGTTCATGTAATATTTTTCAAGGATAAACATAGCATAAGGGTAAGGCTCGGAAACTCGATCAATGTTTTTCATGGCAATGGATAAAGTATTCAGCACATGTGGCAAGTTTATAATATAGCAAAACTAAAACCATAGGATATAGCAAAATCAATTGTGAACTGAACGCAATTGAGCACGGCACTTATTTGTAATTTCAGCCTTCTTCTAGAATAGCTCCAATCGTGATTGTATGAAAGTGTTTGATTTACAGATTTAGTATGTGCATCTAAACCATCTCCTGCTTTCAGTCAGCAGCTTCACCAAAATTTCCAATATCTAGCACGTTACTACCATCTTCAACTCTACATCATACTAATTGCAGGGGTGCTTTGAATCAACTTGAATATGCTTTAATGCTGTATTTGACTCACCACTACTTTCACTCCGCTCGGATTCATCCACTCCATTTATTTCAATTTCCAAATGCAATTTTATCTCATTAAGTTCTCAAGGCTCCTCATATAAATGTGCAGACCAAAACTAAAATCATATGATATAGTAAAATCAATTGTGAACTAAACACAGTTCGCCCCACAAGGAGAAAAGAAACAGGACAAAATTTGCAACTCTCACCCATCACAATCTTATATTTAACTACCTATCCATGGAATTAATCAGACTATACTACCTATCTAATTCAAAACTTAAAATGAAAAGAACCAAATTCATTACCAACTCCAAGATAGGATGAAGAAATTTCATGAATTGTCAACCACCGTCACATTTTTGGGGAAAAAAACCTAATCATTCAATAAATGGAAATAGAAAAACTAATAATAGACCCTTACACAATAAATGATGATGCTTGGAGAGGAAGGAGTAGCAATGATGAACGAAGTGGGGAGTGATGATTTGATGAACGGATTTTAGAGTTCAAAATTTAAAGTAAGAGGTGCACGATTGATTTAAGCATCAAAGAAGAAATGATGGGTGAGAGTCATCAGTCACCTTCAACCTTTCCTTACTCGTCATCATCTCCATCATCAAGGAATCACAATAGGCAAGAACAATATGCTATGAGAAATCTTATGGTACGAGAGCTAGAGAAGAGGGAGGGAGAGAAATTGGCCATGGTCATTTAGGCATTTACCCTTTCAAACATTTTAATCAATGACATTTTAGTTTTTTAGTGGTTCCATTTAATGTCACCATTGGACCTTGGTCCTTGCTCAAATTCCAAGGCCTTATGAGCAATTAAAATTCTGGTCAGATCTTTTTGAACAATTGTCTCGGATAGCAGTTTGCTTGAATTCCTTTTTGATATAACAATTGTTAATTTAGTAAAAACGATTGGAACTTTTCTTATTGGGCCAGACTGAAGCTTAAATAATGAATCTATCCAAAACTGTTACAAAGCCAGGATGAATAATAGGTAAACATTGGCCCAATAAGTACATTTCCAGGGCATAACAACCTCAGTCCAAAAAATCACAAAAAGCCCGGTTCTTGGGCATCGCAGTTCATAACAAAACGGAAAGCGTCACAATTCGTTAAAAAACAAAAAAACGGAGAGCATAACAACACTCAGTTGAAATAATATTCGCTCAAATTTTTTTTAAAAAAATATTGAAAGGAATAACCATTCAAATCCCTAGTATCTTTACCCTTCTTGGGCCAAATTTCTCGTTTTGAAGTGTGGATGCATGAAGACTGGGTATTGAAGTTAAACTATTTGAAGCTCGCAACACACAGACCACTCTAATGATAGGATACATGTTATGATAAATCTAAACTATTAAGGGAATTTATTACAAACATCCAACCCCATCCACATGGGAAAATAAATGACCAAAAGAAAAAAAAAACAAAGAATGAATTTACTATGTACTAAACTCCTATTCTCCTGATTCATAACTTCGTATTTTGCAAGGGTTTCCTCACAGGCATATTGAATGGTCTTGGGTTTCTTCTAACGTTGGGGCAATCTGAAACTGCCTAACCATCCTGCAGGATTGTGATAAACTACATTTCCTTGCTCATCACCTGTAAATTTGGAGGAAACCAACGAATGAGACTTTTGGAAGCATGTATATAACATGAAACCGTTACATGATACAAGAAGTCTTCATCTATATCCAGCTCATATAACATGGTCATGGACGCTGGGTTCTAGAATCTTTAGGAACAACTACATTTCTGCTTCCTCTCTTGTAACATGGCGAAGCGGTCAACAGTTCAGATTCACCAACTTGGTGTTTCTCGTCAGATATATTTCCCTTATCCCATCCATTTTCTTTAGCTACATGCTTAACAGGCATTATGCAGTTAATTTTTCCTTCTATATTACCACCCATGAAAGAACGCCAAAAAAACTACTTCACAAATCAATCTACATCCCAGCTTTTCAAAAAACAAAACAAAACAAAAGGTATATACCAGCCTTACGTCTCGTGAATAAAAATAAAAATATTGGGAGCATATATTAATACCTTCAACTTGCTTTACTTGAATGCATTTTCCATACGAAGCTATTTTGCAAACTGGCCAGTTTCAGTTTTTGATGGTTGGCATGACGGTTTCAAAAGCTTCCACAAGCAACTCCACTTTTTTTTCCTAGCTGGGGTTAATTTGGCCACAACCTGTCTAAGTGCATGATCAAGCATCCACTCTTCTGAACCCTTTCTTTCTCCCATGTCCTGGTGCCTTAAATTTACTTTTTCTCCTTCTGGATCAGGCTCAACGGGCAGATATCGAGGTCCTTGAGGATTGATTTTTCTAACTTTTTCTAAGGCCTTAATGAATCTTCTGAGCATGATCACTTTTTTAAGATTGCTCCAATTCCTAGATAATGGTTTGTTTCCCTCCTTCAATGTTGGTTCTTCATCTTGTTCTTGGGTCATTCCATTATCAGATGTCACCCTATCTTCTTTTCGGTACAAGTCTCTGCTGTTGACTCCTTCGACTCTGTGGGACTGTATAGAGTTGACTGAAATATTGCTGTCAGCGACTTGCTGACCATCATGTGAATGTTCCTGTGCTTCTGGAAGAATTGCATCAATGGCTTCTTCTACAATCTTGATGGCTTCAAGCTGGCGAAGTTCAACCTCTGAGTCAGTAACAGGATGATCTTCTAAGGGTATATCTTGATTTGCCACAGGTATACTTCCATGAGAGATGGAAGTATCACTTCCAGTGATTCTACTATTATCATATCCTTGCTCATTCTCATCATCCCCATCCACAAGTGGCTTGAAGTCATTTGTTGCTACACCTGATGCCATGCGTCTATATACCAAGTACCATAGTCCTGTGTGGTTCTGTTTTTCTTGTAGGATCGTAGTTCCATCAGCTGGAGGGAACTGTTCAAGGTTCTCAATTTCTGGCTTAGCCTTCACTATACTTTCTTTTCTGCCCGCCACAGGTTCATCTAATTGGTCTGAAGGAGCTGCTGAAGAGACCAAACTAGATCCCAGTGATCTCACAAAACCTTTTAGAATTAAGCTTTTTGACATAGAAAGTGGTTCCCCGCTTGTGCTGATCAGATTCTCATTTTCAAAATCTCTTCCATGAGACTCTGATTCACCGCTTGGAATTTCTGTTGTCAAACAAGATATCATGCTTTGTGAAACTCCATTGACCATTTCATCAGCTTGATCCTCCTCAAGGGAGGCGCTTGTAGTGTCAACTGGCGTGCCTGAGAACAATGACGTTGAATCTTTGGTTCCAGCAGGATAAACATTATCATCCACAATTGTGTTGTTCTCCTCCTTATCATGATTGCCAGCCATAATTTGCTTTCCAATCCAATCTCCATCAATAGCTCTGGATCTGGGGTTGTTTTTGGCCTCTTCAACCACATCAGAGCCATATTGTTCTGTCATTGGGTTGTCACTGGCATCATCAGCGTGTTCTTTAAAAGTTCTGTGAGAATGGAATGCTTTGCCAAGCAATAGTTTGGCTGAAACGTCATATTCCCTCTCCCTGTCAGTTATTTCCTCGCCATGATCTGAAGAATCAGGGCCTTGAGTTGCACTAGCTTGATTTTCAATTGTCGCAGAGGATAGTGGGCCATTTTCAATGTCTTGAAATGGCAGAACTGTTTCAAATGCTTCTACTAAAAGTGTGACCCGTTGCTTTTGAGCAGGACCTAGCTTTGAGATAACCTTCTGGAGTGCATAGTCAAGCATCCATTCTTCGACATTTTTTCCCTCCCCTGGGATCAGATGCCTGAGATAAACTTTTTCTACTTTTGGGTTGGCATCTGAAGGCAAATGTCTGGGTTTTAGAACGTTGATTTTTCTTACCTTGTCTAACGCCTTTACAAATCTCTTCAGGAGTAGTAATTTTTTCAGACTGCTCCAGCTCTTTGGTGTTTTTGGCTCAGGTTTATCTTCCATCTTCTCTGATGCCTTCTCTTCCTCGTCATCAAGTTTTAGCGTAGCTTCTTCTTGAGGAGAATCTGTGGATGTTGAAGTGCTCCTATCTCTTTCCTTACCTTGACTCTGGTCTAGGAGCTCCTCATCTGAAGCCATGCCTTGAGATTCTAAGTGATTGTCAGAAGAGATATCTTCCATTTCTGGGAGAAGAATTTCATCAAATGCTTTCTGCACAAGCTCAACTACATTCTCATTTTCATCATCAGTATCCTGAAGAGAAGAGTTGTTTACTCCATTAGATGAAAAACCGTCTTTCCCTTGTGCTTCCTTGTCTTCCTGGTCAGATTGAAGCTTGTCTTCTTTTTCTGCATTACTCAATACTGCATGCTTATAGATCAAGTGCCACATCTTTATATACTTCTTATCTCCTTCAGGAATTCTGTAAGATGCATCGGTGGTGGGAGTAGGATTAGATTCTCTCGGTGGAGACGGATCCTGCAGTATATCATAATGTGAGTCAATATTTTTGTCTTTGGCTGTTATTTCTTCCTCCAATGTATGAATTTTGGTGGCAGTACACGTGGCTGCAGGCGTTGAAGTTAACTCCACAACATCATTTTGATCAGATGTATCTGATTGATCTCTAGCACTTCTGAACTCATGAGCATTTATGCTTTCTCCAGATGATTCAGGATCAGCCAGCTCCAGGATTGAGTTTCTTTCTTCCCGTTTCTCTGGGGAAGCTACTACTCCAAGAACCTCATGACCAACCACTACGCTATCGTCTATCAAACCAGAATGCTTGTCACAAAGGTCAGGATCTTGAAGCACCATTAATTCAGAGTTTAAGATATCAGTCCCATCATCCATGAGAACAGACTGAGTGCTTTCATCATATTTGTCACGTGCAGCCACTATACTGGTGTTCCTTGCCGTCTCAATCACTTCAGAGTCTCGTTTGTCCTCGTAAGTAACAGTGCGGCAGCATTCCAAATTTGATTCCTTGATTGCAAGAAAGGAAGACAAGTTATACCCATTTTCTGCAAGAGAATCATTGAGATACTGATCAAAAGTTTTATGTGGAAATGATGTTTCACCAGGCAACACCTTGGCATTACATCTGAAATTTATGTTTTCTTTATTATCTCCTCCAGATGAGCCTCCTCCATTGAAACTGGAAGCTAGTGCATTGGGAGTCTTAACAGGAAAGTCCCTTGCTGGCTTTTTATCATTCTGATTATGAGGTTTGCGAGAAGGGGCTGTTGTATTCTCAGGATTTTCACTGCAGATGCTCTGACTTGTTTGATTGCCCTTCTTTTTATTACCAGAATGCTTTGATCTTGTAACAGGCTGAATCTCCATTTTTGTGTTCTTATGTGTCTTCAATTGGCGCCTTCTCATTGAGGCAAAACGTTTTAATGGAGGCATATTGCCATGGTGACCACCATGAAGAGAACAATAAGTATATGGACAAACCTTCCTTGTTAACAGTACTTCTTGAGATTCATGCTCTTCAAGTGGCAACTCAATTTGATCTGGAAAATGGGAATCTTTGAGAGTTGAAGAACATGTGGCTTTATGCAAACTTGAGTCTGAGGATTGCAATATCTGAAGGCTTTCCTCTTTGGAAACTTTCCTCGACCTGAACACGTACCGATTGCTTAAGATTCGCACCGGCTTGAAACTTAATCTTCTGGTCATAACTCTCTGAGAATTCTCACTTGGATGCTTACTATTCTGACGGTCGTTAAAAGTGCTTGCCTTGTCTTGATTTGTCCCCTGCCTTGATGATCTCAGCCCCTTGACAGATGTGTGCTTGATTGATCTTGACGGCTTCAGTTTCCTCTTCAACTCAGTCCCTCCAGATAGCTTTCTGGTCAAATTCCTCCTCAATTTCAAAGTTGGTATTCTTGTTAAGTTCTTCCTCGTGAAGATTCTCTCGGAACCCTGCCCATAATATGTAACATTCAATTTTTCAAGTCTTGAATCGATAAAAACAAATCATATGTACAAAAAGACTAACAAGAAAAAAGAAATCAGAAAACTTGCCTGAAAGCTTTCCTTTGCATGAGAACTGCTGGTTGCTTTCATATAATTGGGCGATGCATCCGACATTTCGACCGAAGAAGGTCGTTCTGAACTTTGTGAATCAATATTTTCGTAACGGGATTTGGGTCCTTTAATGGACGACCTCACGCTCGACAGTCGCAAAAGCCGCATTGACCTCAGTCCCTTCAATTTCTTCTTGGGTTCCGATCGACCCCCATCTTGAGGATTGCTAGAAACAGAACTAGAAACAGAGGATTCTGTTTCTGGCATACTCTCAGTTTCAGATTTTGCATAATAACTGGAGGTTGATTCAGTTTCAAAAGTCTGCGGGATCGTTCTTCTGATCCAAAATACACAAAGAATTAAAGTTCTGTGTGAAGGGAAAGAATCACCGATCGGTGAACACTGTGAAGGGAAAAGAGTGAAGAAAGAAAGGAACTGTTCAATACCAACCTATGTGGAGATATGCTTCTCGTGAGCCCTTGACAGCAAGAGATTGAAGAGAAGTCCGCGAGACAGAGATTCCGAGGTGAAATTTGGTACAGTGAAGTGTGCCTGCCTTATCAAAGCTGGCAAATTGATATTAAAATGTGCTATGACTCGTCTGGCATGTTTTCCTTGAATCTGTCAAAGCATGGGAGATGAGACGGCTTGAAGGTGCTGACCGAGGGGGAAAGACTAGTGAGACGTGTGCTTGGGGCTGATTAATGGACTGGCCTCGCGCTGACTTAGACTCACGAATTTATTAAAAAAAATCTCAAACACTTGGCATTGCTTCATTGCTTTTCTCGTTGATGCGTGGAGGGGGCAAAAAAAATAGCCGCACAATAATGTGAGCCTTCTTTCTTCAGACAAGGGTAGGGGGGGAAAAAAAAGAGCTTCGGTGTTGTCTGGGCCAGGAAGTGGGGTTACAAAGATGAGTCGGTGGGATAATTGAAGTCACTTGTGATGAGGATGATACGTGACTTTTGTAGAGCTAAAAAACAGAAACCCATGAGCGAAAATTGGAAGAGCGGCTATAGAAGTCAGAAGATTAAAAGACAGGCAGCAAAATTAGAACCCGCCAAGACAAAAATGACCGAAAATGCGTATCCAATCGAGGTTAAAAAAAAATGAAGGGAGATCGAGGAAGAGGAAGAAGAAGAATGAAGAAGAAAAAATAAAGAGAGGATATTATATCCTCCGTTGCCGACGCCAAGCTGTCCCCCGTGTTGGAAAGCCAGAGTCCGTGGCATCTTCTCATTTTCGCCCCCAGTGGACAAGAAATTGTGCTTTTGCCAAAAGCAAGAGTCAAAAGACAGGCTTCAATAAAGGGCCAACAGTGTTTGTCAAATATAGATGGCCATGACTATTTTGTCCCGTAGTGGAAAGAGATGGCCGGGCCACTCACAAAGACACACTCTCCCCAACACACACATTCCCCAATGCGTGTTTGGCGATTTTTCAAGAGTTAATCAGGCACGGGTATGGCGAGCTGAACCAACTCATGAATGTTTGAATTAAATATTCTTTTCTTTGGATGGGAGTTTTGCATAGACGACGTAAGTTTTTTAGTTGGGTAATGTGAGGTGGATAACAATGGTAATTCATGTAACTATGATTAGAGGGAGCAGCGAGATGCGGCGATGACAAGCGAGATGGGAGTTGGAAGATGGAAGCCATGCAACATATGTAAAAGTTCTTTGGTATTCCGTATTCGTGAATGAGCCTACCCCTACCTACCAGGCCACCACTTTACCCGCAGATACACCGCGCAATTGACGCCGACCAGATGAGCCCTATTTTTCCATGCTTTGAGAAGAAATTATCAATCTGTCCAAGAGACCACTCGCAGACGCAGTCACTGAATCTTTTTTGGGTGGCTTGACATGGTACGTGTCATGTTTGCTTATAAGAAAAGCAAATGATTTCCCACGCATCTAAGCAAGCTCGATTCCGAAACTAAACTCAATTGATGAGCGACTATAGCCTATTCCGCCTGTCCATCTGCCATTAAAATAACGCTATAGATTGTGTCCATCAAAATATACTAAAGCCCGTTTGTATTTTAGTTAAATATAATTAATTATAAAAATAATTAATTAATATAATTAATTTTAATTATAATTAATTAATCATATTGTAACCCAATCTATTTGGATACTGAAATTAATTTCATTTGTATAAATTACCATAAAAGATATTACTTTTTAAAATTAATTATTAATAAAGTTATATTTAATATTATTAAATTTGTTAAACTTTATTTAAAAAGTGAAATTTATTATTTAATAGTAAAATTAAATTTATAAACAACCTTTTAGAGTTTATTTTAAAATGTAATTTTGATTTAAATAATTAATTATCAAAATTCAGCCTGTTTGGGTAATTATTATGACAATCGATCATTCGGCCGAAGTAATCGATTTCTTAGCTTTGCCAAACAGGCTGCGATGCTACAACCCAAACAGGCTGCAATACTACACCACAACACTTTCTGGGTCCAACCCCTTAAAGAAAATATGGCTGACAAGAAAATCAAATTCAAACCGACCGCCCAAGGAATATCGTAGAATGGCCTCCTCCAAAGCTGGGATTATAAAAATAATAATAATAAAATATTTTTAAAATATATAAATAATAATTTAATTTTTAAAATATCATAATTTTTTTAATGTTTTTAAAACAAATTATTTCATTAATAAATTTATATAAATTATTAAATTATTTTTGTTAAAAATAAGAGCTTTAAAGTTGCTACATTGTTACGAATGTAAGAAAAAATTATGAATATTTAAATAAAATTGGTGAATAATTTATTTTTAAGAAGGGTAATTTAGTAACTTATATAAATTCATTAATCGAAAATTTTAAAAATTTTAAAAAAATTATGACATTTTAAAAGATTAAATTATCATTTATATATTTTAAAAAAATTATTATCATTTTTTAATATTATATGCTCCTCCCCTCTCCCATAGTACCCGTGATAATTGAATCACGTGATCATATTTGTTGCATTTTCAATTTGCGTCTCTTATCCTCCATTTCCATTTTATTTTTGCAATAATTGAAAAATTATAACATTTTTTATATAATACTCTCTCCGCTTAAAATATTTTTAATCGAATCTCACCTTCTAATAAAGTAGTTATCTGCTTTTTAACTAACTCTATTTTTCATATTTATTCCTATCAAATGCTCTACAATAAATATAAAATCATTATTAATATAGATACTTTTGAAAAGAAAAGGCAATGATTATACTCGAAAGGCTAAAAATGCTTTACATTTTTTAATATTTAACTTCTTAAAAAATATCTTATGAATGGAGTATATGATTTCTTCTTGCCCGTGATAGACAGACAACACTAAAAAAGAGCAAAATAAATAAATCATTGATTAATTAATTTTAATTCTTTAACTTTACATAAAGTTATAATTTAATCATTCATTTTGTAAAATATATTTTTAGTCCTTTAATCCTATCATCTTTAGCTTGGAATGATTATTTTTTATATCATCATTATTGTTTAAAAAAAATTAAACTTAATATGTCAATATTTAAAAATGTTGGGATAAAAAAACTAACAGTGTTAAGGTTAAAAGATTAAAAAGACACTTTATAAAGTTAAAACACTAAAATAAAAATTATGTAAAGTCAAGTGATTGAATAAATACTTTAGAGTATTCACGAGACGGGATGGGATTAGGACACCCATATCCTATATCATATCCCGAAAAATGATCGAAACTACAATTTTATCGCATGTCCTGTCCCATCTCGTTTGGAATCAGGATAAGATTGGGACGTCTTGCCATCCCAAAAACGGACAACATGGGAGAAATGCATGTATAATAATATCCATTAATTAAAATTTTAAATAACATAACTTATTAAATTTAAAACCAAAACAATATAAGTGCACAAATCACAACAATTATTGAATTATATAAATCATAGTTATTATTATATAACTTAAAATAAGAATACCTCAAACATGATACATTATGAAAGCAATTACAAGTTATCTCTAAGCTATGTGATCTATAAGTTATGAGAGCAATAACAACAAATAAGGCCGACATAACATCAAGTTATTATTCCTATCCTTTAGTTAAAATATGTTAAGCTAGTGAGTCTTTCAAAAACAAAGCAAAAAATATAATATAAATAAAAGTCATTAAATAGGTAGATATAATAATAAATTGTATTAATATATAATATACTGTAAATAAAGATATCACCTTGTACTGTTTATTAGTGTCATTAAAATTATCAACATAAAAGACTTTTAATTTTAAATAAGAATAGTAGCTAATGAAATTATAGCTAACATAAGTATAAAGTATATTAATACAATTAATATATTTAATATATTTTATTAAAATAAAAATTATATATATCTATAAAATATTTAGGACGGGATAGTACAGTCCGAGGACAATCTCATGTCCCGTCCCATCATCCTATCTCAATTGTTTTTGGATAAGGATGAGACCTATTTCAATATGGGCAGCATAAAATCAGGCTAATTGAAACAAGCACAAATTGAATGGCTGTAACTTTAGCCAAGATAAAAAGAAGCACTACTTTAAAATGGAGACTTACCCATGAGTGCGAGAACATGAAGAGAGAGAGGGAGGAAGAGCAAGCCACTACCAAGATTTTATCACCCCTTACTCATCACCCCATGTTATTTTCTGATGGTATAAGTAATAGTATCAGTTGGTAATTGGGGTGGGTTGGGCTTAATTTAGGCCGAACTTATTCAAATTGGTTGAAATATCCTACCTTCTTAAAAAAAGTCATATAATCAAGCTCGACCCTAACTTTTTTTAGTTGAGTTCGTGTTGACCCGTCGATCTTGGCTAAAATTATTAACTCTATATACATATAGAGTCAAAAATGCTGTTGATCGGGCTTTTTCGGGTCAAGTTCAATTTAAGTTGGCTGATTCTAATTGGGCTGAAAATATCATATATTTTTAAAAAGTTTCTATAGTTAAGCTCGACCCTAACTTTTTTTTGGGTGGGTTAGAGCTTAGTTCAAACTACCAACTTTAACTATAACAATTTTTACTATTGGTTAGTTACTCCGGTTTAAAAATTTGAAGTTAAATCTATTTAAACTCCCATTTGAAAAATATTTGTAATTAACATCTGTGTTAGATTTCCTTGACACTGGTGATATTGTTATGGAAATCAATATTATAAATAATGATAACGATATTGACAACTACATTTAAAAAAAAATACAAAACTAAATAATTAATACTGTCAGCCCAAAAAATCACTAGTGCTGCTTAAAATTACTACCTATCCTCTCTAAAATTATATTTCAATATATTAGATAAAATTTGTGAATGCATTTATTACCTTTGAAGTGAAATATTCTTGTATTACCACGTGAGATATATTCTAAAAAAGTTTGAATAATAATTTTTTATTATTTTTCTTAAAATTATTTCATACACCTTGTCGAGTTATAAATTTATAAATATTTACCTTTTTTAACATATTAACTGTTTCTGCCGACTAAAATAAACCCTCTTGCAATGCAAGGGGATTTGAAACATTTTCTTGGGAAAACAATTTTAAAAAACAGTGAAACGAACTAATTAAAAAACACGAAATCCAGCATCCTGGCAGGAAGAATAACAGTGACAAATGTGAAATATCTAACTTATATGCGCCGTTAATATATTAAATTAAAATATAATAAAAAGTATATTTCTTTCATTAAAAAAATAAAATATTTTTTAAAAAGTTAAATGTTTA